ATATGTAGGGCTTTTATACACAGTGTGTGCCATTGTACAGACTAGGTTTATCCCTCACAGCCTCATTTTCATCCAAGAAAATGTTCAAAAAGCCCTGTTTAAGGGGTCCGTGTACTTTGTACTTATTCATTTGTAGTTTTTTTTTTTTTTAAACCCAGAATTTAAAATGCAGTTTCTTCTTTAATGGTTCAAACACTGACGAATAGAATAAGCTGACACAAACTAATTTTGATTATTCAAAATTCATATTTAATTAAAAATCATAAAAATGATATAAAGCTTGTTTTTTTATTGAGATAAAAGGTGTATTTTCTGCTCTTAAGGTCCCATTCACCAAGATACCTACTCCTTTACCCCCACCCTTGAATTTATATATTTATTTTAACGATGAATAAAGTCAAGTCCCGCCCTTTAATTTTTCACATTCTAAAACCTGTTTCACTCTGAAATATGTCACAATACATAAATCAATTCAGCCATAACTTCTGTTACATGACTTTAAGTGTGCTAAGCAAAGCAGGACACTAATTATTAATCAAAAATCAAAATGGCAAGATGCAATAGAGGTTTGCTGAAGAACCTTCTTTCTCCACAAAGAACCTTTTGTGAAACCGAAAGGTTCTTCAGATGTTAAAGGTTCTTTATGGAACCATTTAGACCAAAAGGTTCTTCTATGGCATCGTGAAGCACCTTTATTTTTAAGAGTGTAAGAAGAGAAATATGTACAGATCAAGCACGGTTTAAAAGTTAAAACAGTCCAAAACAGCTCTAAACAAATTTTTAATGTAAGCGGATAACACGGGATGGGCATTTTCACTGGAGGAAGCATTATGGATTATGGATTTTTATTTATTACGGATTATTTCTTTAAAATTTAAATGAACTGCAAATTCTTAATTTGCTCACATGGCAATCTTTTATGGCATTATTTTAAGTTTTAACTAAAAGAATAACTTGTATATCAGTATGTTTTATTTTAGTGCTGTCAAACGATTAATCGTGATTAATCGTTTGACAGCACTAATTTATAGCTAATATGTGTGTGTATTGTGTATATTTATTATGTATATATAAATAAACACACATGCATGTATATATTTAAGAAAAACATGTTACGTTTATATATTAAATATTTATGTGATATAAATTATATGAATATAAATATATACATGTAAATACATGTAAATATTTTCCAAATATATGCTGTATGTGTGTGTATTTATATATACATAATATATGTGTATATTATGTTTTATTTTAGTGCTGTCAAACGATTAATCGTGATTAATCGTTTGACAGCACTATTTTATTTATGTAATATTTTGAACCTTTGTTAATTAAACCAGTTAAGTTGTCTCTTATGAGAGCAGCTTCATCAGTGATGGGCTTAAGGCCTTCAGTATACACTCAGTGATGGTTTTCATTTTTGTTTTGTTTTTTTGTTTTTTTTACAGTCAAAAACATCCAGAGAGATGACACACTTGGAGTTACAAGGTAGACATCTGATTAGGTAACACCCTTTTTGTAGATTATGGAAAAGGCTTCAAATGAGCAGGATATATATTAAGCTTTTACTAAAGCTTTTACAGCTGTCTTGGACATTCAGCCATTTATACATGACAAGAATGTTAAAGTATTTACATTATTCTTCTTTCCCCTTTTTCCCTTGCAGTAAATGAATCATTTTAGCACTTCGGTAAGCTGATTTTTTTTTGTCACTCATCTAATTTTTAATCATTGAGTTTCTGTATTTATTCTTTATACATCTAATCTTTTTTTTTCTTGTTCAAGTGGGTCACCTGTTGACGTGTTTCTCCAGCTACATAATCACTCTCCAGTCATCTGTTACTGCATCCACACTCTCTATGCACGACACAGTGCTGTTTTTAAATCTGTGACTGGCAATGTGCCTGACATGCCCACACAGCTTGTGTATTTATCAGTTTCTAATTGTAATTGTCTTGAATGTGCCTCTGTAACTGTTATCCGTCATCTATCAGGTACATGGGATATGTTTTAAGAAATACTTAAAATATACCATCATTTGCAATAGAAGAAACCCCCTCTTTTTAACACTTTATTTTATTCATCTTGGTATTTATTATCATTGTTTTTATTTGATCTACTTACCCATCCCCGGTTCTCTTTGTTCTGTCTATTATATATTTTTGTTTACACAACAATATTATAACTAGTACAGAAATTATTGGGAAAAAATCCATCCCCTTTAGCATTCAGGCCCCGAATGGTTGTACCAGACGGGAACGAAAAGTATTTACAGCCAAGATACCGCTGCAAAAAAGTAATATATCCTGTTGTTTTCAGGAGTTTGTATTTTATTGTATTGTTTATTTTATACGATATCTTTGTTTATATTTTGCTATGTTTGCGTGTAAGAGAGGACATTATATATATATATATATATATACACACAAAAACTAGAACACACATCACACATACACATACACACACACACACACACACACACACACACACACACACACACACACATATAATATATTTCTGGGTATCTCAGAGAATGTACATTTTATATTATTGATCTTTGTGCTTTTGTGTAAAATTGACAAAACACATCCAGTAAAACAGGAAATATGATCATGTATATCTAAATGGCACTAAAAAGTTCTCATTAAAAAAACAAAAACCGGATGGACAGTAATTTTCATTATTTTGTGTCTTCATTACCAAGAAGTAGTATGTGCTCCCTACTATATTATATCCAGTGTTGGGGAGTCTAGTTACATGTAACGGCGTTACGTAATTTAATTACAAAATAAATGTAACTGTAATCAGTTACAGTTACTAAGAAAAAAATGTGTAATTAAATTACAGTTACTTATGAAAATGTTAACGATTACAAAGGGGATTACATTTGAATATTTACACACATCCACATACAGATTTAATTTATTTATTTCCCAGATTACACTGACTACTCTTGACCGTATATAATAGGGGAATTTACCGTTAACCATTTAACAGGTTTTTACTGTAGCATTTTTACAGTCTTTTAGCATTCGGCCAGTCACTTCATGAGCATTTACTTATTTTGAGAAAACTATCATCATATCATATACAAAGAGACACCAATGTTTCAAAAAGACACCAATGTTTCAGGAGTTTAGTTCCCAGAATAGGACACATGCTTATTAGATAACCGTATTTGAGTTGATGTAGCCTATATGCTTTTATTTATTATTATTTTTTGATTAACTCATTTTTTTTTTCAAACCATTGTTAGATGCAGTGTTTCCTGTAGTTATGCAAAGATTTGTTTTCAAAAACAGTATCAGTAAACTATTTCTTATGATTTTAAATCTGCATTGAACTTCAGATCAATCTCAAAGTAAAAGGCGGTTCTAAAGTCTGATTTTGTGGTGGATGTGTTCAAATTTGATCATCTTAATTCAAGTGATGAAGGATTTTGAAAGTCTGAAAGTCTGAAAGGTTAACCCTGCGTGGTGTAAATGTTTGAAAATGATTAGCAGTTGCAAATAAACATTCATTAGAAATGTAGAAAAGTAATCAAAAGTAATCAGTTACATCACTTTAATACTTTAAAGTAATTGAAAAAGTAACACTACTATTACATTTCCAAAGTAACCTTCCCAACACTGATTATATCCATATTCTCATGTAAAATAACTAGTGTTGATTTTTTCTTTTTTTTTCTTTTATTTAATTAAATCAGGCACCTGTCACATCCAGCACGGCACAGACACATTTGCTTGCGCCATTTCTTTCTCCTTTGAGGAGTGAAGCCGTCGGTCTAAACAAGGTACTTTTATTTTGACACCTACAAGAAAGGCTCTTCTCCTAACGCCTTGTTGAACAGCACATGCTGATATCATTATTGCATATACTGTATTGCATGTCTAAGTCTCTCAGTGAGTATATAATTCTGTAAACAAGCTGTTTGGCTTCATATCCGCGTGTTCTGCATTCGTAAGCGCTTAGTTTATCTTCATACGTTAGCAGTTAGCATGTGCGGTTGTGTCTGTGCACTCCGTGACGCTTTGGATAGATGCTAACGTTAGCTGTTCAGATTACTCACTTGAAATGTGGGTGTTGTTATAAAATGTGTTGATTTGTCCTGTACCTCCGCGTGTGTAGTCATGGAAACAGACGCGTCTCTCCTTGGCGTTGAACTAGAGCAGAAAGAGCAAGAAGAGCTGTATCAACAACTTTTGCTGCAGGTAACGTTAACCGCTTTGACACAACTCAGCTAAAATTATATATGTTATGTAAGTATTGTATAGGAAATGATAGTAAGTGTTATATAGGAAATGTATACTGTATTTTCGAAGCAGTGTAATAATACCTATTACACTTTAAAAGTCGAGTGTCACAGTAAACGTTTCATTTCATGTGCAACAAAAAAATGCACATTTAAAGGGAAAGTTCACTCGAAAATGAAAATGCTTGTCCATATTTTGTTACGGACCTGTATTACTGACTGTCTTTTACTAAACTCAAAAGTTGATTAGGGGGTTAGGAGGTTAGAGTTTAGGGACTGACAGACTCAGTCACATTGAGTTTTTTTTTTTTTTTGTATGGAAATGAATTAAAATACATTATGCCTGAGTTTGTCAGTCACTGACTTTCTGCCTAATAGGCCTAACCATTTTCACCAAGAAATTAGATTATTTGGGTTTTTTTTATCCAACCTTACAGACCATGGGAAAAGTGCAAAGCGAAAGTCCCCCTTCCAAAGTCATCCGTCCACAACCAGGTTAGTCTGATATTTTACAAACATTTTCTTAGGACTGGTCAGGACCATTATATTTTGAGACCTGTCTGAATTTATCCTCTTTATGCCAGGCATGTGCGTGAAGACCTCCTCAATGTCAGACAAAAAGAAGGTCTTTCTGAATATCTGTCAGTCACAGGCGGTGCCGCCCCCTCCTCATCTGTCCCAGGAAGCACTTGTGGAACTACTGGAGTCAGAGGACCCGACGAGTTACAGAGTGCCCATGAGTCTCGGCGAGCCGCATACAGAAGTGGACAACAGTGAGAGGCATTCACGTTTTCAAATTTACTCCATTCTCCTTTTATTATCATTTCCATAATCCAAACTGAAATGTATTGTTTTAATGCAAGGTGGAGTCTAATCTGGTTGACACCAACCATATACAGTAATGAATATAATCATAAGGACACAAACCATATAATGACTTTCATATATGTGACCCAAAACCAGTCATAAGGGTCAATTTTTTTAAATTGAGATTTATGCATCATCTGAAATAAATAAGCTTTCCATTGATGTATGGTTTGTTAGGATAGGACAATATTTGGCCGAGATACAACTATTTGAAAATCTGAAATCTGAGGGTGCAAAAAAATCAAAATATTGAGAAAATCACTTTTAAGGTTGTCCAAATTAAGTTCTAAGCAATGCATATTACTAATAAAAAATTAAGTTTTGATATATGTACGGTATGGTTTTGGCTATTGCTACAAATATACCTGTGCTACTCATGACCAGGTTTTGTGGTCTAGGGTCACATATGATAAGGAAGTATCAAATTCAAATATTCTTGAAGTGCATTTAAGATATTATGTTTGCCAGGCTCACGTGGCTGTACTGTGTATGATGTCGTGATCAATGATGAGTTCTTCCAGAAATGTCAGGTGTGTGTCTTATATTTGAATGTATGCACTGAAAGTACCTCGGAAATATGTGACTGCATTCATGTCTATCACTGTGACTGTTTGTACCCAACAGAAAGATGACCTGTTCCAGCAGTTTCTTATTGCAGTTTCTTTGGAGGGACTGGAAAACAAGTACAACCTTGAGTTGAGCAGAGGTCAGACTAAATACAGCAACTAACTTTTACATTAAGGGGCAATATTTGCTGCCTGGAATGAATTTCCAGGGGCTTTTTTTTTTTCTTTTGTGAGGACGATTTTTTAAAATTACATTAAATGTATCTGTGTGTTTTGTCAATGTGTGATATGTCAGCTACTTAAATTTAACCAGTTACTTCAATCATCACAATACTATAGACTGTTACCAATTACATCAACAAAAACCATCTTTACACTGCATCTTTACACAAATGCAACTTCTGTTGGAACAGAAGCTGCATTTGACATGGCATTTATCTACACAGACTGCTCATGTATGTATTTACACAAAAATTGCAATGCATGCATGAAGTCATTGTTGTTACTTATTGCTCTTATTGCAATAATGATCATTAATGTCGATGAATAAAAAAAA